GAGATTCAAAAGAAACAAAAAGCTCTTGATATAAGAATCTGGTGGGGACTCTGCTATCAACCAGCTGCATGTGAACATGTTAATATATTGAATCCAGTGCACTTGCTCATTCATTTGGCCAGCTTTGTGAAGAATGGCATTTTCTAATCCAGGCAGGAGACACAAGATAAAGGCCATGTGCAAAGGCTCAATGCAGGAGAGAGCCAGTGTGCAAGGAAGGCCAGAGTGACTGGAAACCACTGAGAGGGAGTGAGAAACAGAGGAGACCTTTCCAGACCTTCTAGAGCCAGTGGTTCTCAACCTTCCTAATGCCGCGACCCTTTAATACAGTTCCTCATGTTGTGGTGACCCCCAACCATAAAATTATTTTCGTTGCTACTTCATAACTGTAATTTTGCTACTGTTATGAATCATAATGTAAATATCTGATATGCAGGATGTATTTTCATTGTTCGCGACCCACAGGTTGAGAACCGCTGGCAGGAGCTGTGCTCTTATTCTAGGTGCAATGAACTATTGCAAGCAGTGCGTAACAAGGGACATGACCCAGATCATGCTTGAAGTACTTTGCCCATGTTGTTCACGATGCAAGTGCTAAAGGTGTCTGTTGGGTGGTAGACTTTGCTCCCTGATGCTGTGGTGAGGAGTCCTGGCAGGAAGAAAACACTCAAGAGGCCATTGTGTGGTCTTGGATGGGGGACAAAAATGAAAAGGTGGAAAACAGGCAGTTCCTCAAACAACTAAACGTGTTATCAGACAACCCAGCCAGTCTGCTCCTAGGTATATACCCAAAACAAATGAAAATACACGTCTACCCAACAACTTGTACACAGCTGATCATGCAGTACCATTTCTAATGGCCAAAAGGTGGAGGTAACTTTAGACGACCATCAACAGATGAGTGAATAAACAAAATGTGGTGCATCTATCTGAGGGAATATTACCCAGGCATAAAAAAGGAATGGAGTACTGATGCATGCTACAACATGGATGAACTTTAACCCTTTTCGGTCCAACATCGAGGCTGACTCGACAGACCAGGCGCTAGTAGCAGGTCCAACGTCGAGGCTGACTCGACAGACCAGGTGCTAGGAGCAGGTCCAACCTCAAGGCTGAGGTCGACACCGCAAACCGGTTCAACATTCAATCCCGTCAATTAATTTGGACCAGACTGTTTGAGTTCCAAAAATAAAATTGGACCGCAAAGGGTTAAACACATTAGGCTAAGTGAAAGAAGCCAGACACAATGATCCATTGATAGGAAATATTCAGATTGGCAAATCTATAGACACAGAAAGTAGATTGGTGGTTACTGGGAGAGGGAAAATGAAGAGTGTCTGCAACTGGGTACAGTTTTTTGTGGGGGGGGGGTGAAAATGCTCTGGAATTAGAGTGATGATGGTTGCAAAATTTGTGTATGTTTTAAAAAAACATGAAATTGCACACTTTCAATGGTTGAATTGTTGATTTTCTGAATTGAATCTCCATAAAGATGTTTTTTAATAACAGGTGATGGATGCACAAAAATGGGTGAGGATGGACTGAGGGTGTATTCAAGATGGGACCCAAGCACTTTGGAGACTGATATCGTGTGAGGGAGGGAAAGAGGGCAATGGAGGCTGCCTCCTGGTATCTCAACTGATGTTGCTGCCGCTGCTTGTGACGATTCCTTTCTGCCATCATCTTGAATAATCTCATGATGATTTCCTCAAAATCTACCTCTTCCTTTTCACCCATCGAGTGTAAAAGGGTGGGGGGTACCTTGAGGTAGGGGATTTGCTTTTTTAGAGAAATCAAAAAACCTACTTCTTGGTGACCTTTTTCCTCTTCATCACCAGACGACCTTTAACCCCATGGATGCTTAGGGCGCAGGTCAACAAAGTATTGAAAATGTGGCAGGTCTTTCATCGAAAAGGATGTGGTGCGTTTTAATGCATTTGGCTTCCCCGGGTCACAATCAATGTACAGAGAGAGGGCTACGGGCCTTCCTTTACTTAGAAACTTATCTTAGCTTTCGTACACCTGCGAGTGTGACTTCTGGTAAAGTCAATTAAAAAAAGAACATTCTCTTGTGCTGATGAGAAATGAAGATAGAAAGAAAAAAAAAGACCCACAAACGCTTAACATTAACATTAGATAGCAAGTCCTCTTCTCATTTTTTTTGGTGGATGCATTTTAATCTGCTTTAAATTGTAGTGGCAAATAATGAACATGCTTTTGTCTTCATGGGAATGTTCAAGGTTGGGGCAGAAGTCGACTTTACTCATGGGATCCTGAGACAAGGAAATTCCCTCCGGCCTCAGGGGCCACCCAAGAAACACACTCTCTTATATTCATAGCGATATCTAATTTCCAAAGTTATTGACTTTTCATTCATCCATTCCTTTATTCACATAATAAACCAGTTGCTACTACACTCATTTGCAGATATGAGCATAAGATTCCATCCCTGACCTCAAAAGCTGGCAGGTATATGAAGAAAAAGACAAATAATAGTCAATGATAAACTCTGTAATAGAAGGATTCACAGGGTGATATGAAAGTGGGCACGTTATGAAGATTATTAAGGTGGGCATGTTCTTAAGATGCACATGGTCTTTTGCTGTTTGTCTCTATAACCCATACTTTGGGGGTATTAGAAAGTAAAATAAGTGACTTGGTTCATTATTTTCTTCCCCTATATTCATAGATCATCTAAAGTCGGCCCTAGAATTAAAGGGCCTGGGGTTACTCTCTTAGGATGTCTCAAGGCTTAGGTTAGACCTCAAGGCCAATCAACCAAAAGCCGTGTGGTTTTGGTGGCACCATGCCCACCACCAGCCCCCTCCACTGGCCCTGGCTTCCCATCAGGGGAGACAGAGAGGAGGCGGGTGTTGTTTCCCAAGCCTGCACCTCCTCCCCACACGCTGCGCCCCCGCCCTCGCTCTGTGCAGTCATCTTGGCTCCTTGGTGTGGGAGGATGTTCACCACAGGCTGGTCTGAGCCCAGGCTCCTCACCCCGCAACACTCCCCCGCAGCCCTCTGGGTGACTCGGCGCCTGGGGAGGCTTCTGCCTCACGTGTCCTCCTTTCCCAGGCCCTGCTGCCCCCACCTCCTTGGCAGGTGGCCCATCATGGTTGACCGACAGTGGGTCTGTGATTTTTTTTTCTTCCTGCTTGGGCACAGCCAGGGTGGGTACGTCAAGGGAGAACCCAAGCTGTGGTCTCCCTCACCATCCCAGGGCCCCTCCCGACTTCCTGGCTGCTGGCTTCAAGGCCAGGAAGGAGCTGCCAAGCCATCCCATCTGAAAAACCAGCTTGTGACCAGCAAACTGGACACATTTAATGCAGGGGTCACCGAGAGAATAAACTGGGGACCCTGCCGAATGTCGTCTTCGCAGAGCGACTGTTCCCATTGCTCTCAGTTTCCAACCCGATTAGGACCTGGCTCGTTCGTTTCATGCTCTGCACAACAGCTGGGGTGAAAGGTCACTTTGGTATATATGATTTTGTTTCTCTCTTTCTGAGCCACAGAACTTCCTCCAAGGAACAAGCATTAACCCCTGGTTCTCAGAAGCAAAACAAGCTGAGTCACACATTTCTATGAATTCTCTCCGATGATTAGTAATAATAGCAGTAGCCCTATTGATTGAGGGCAGCTGCCAGACTTCACAGAGCTGAGCTGTAGTGGAGCCTCCCAGAGACGTGGGGAGCCCATGTCAGACCTAAGTAAAGGACGTGGCAGGGAGGGTACAGAAGAGAGGCCGTGCAGTCTTGTGGCCAGAAGTCAGCAGAGCCAGGATCTCGTCCTGGTCCTGCCAACCCTATTGTGACTTGATCAAGACTCTTCTTTGCCAAAGGAAATTCCAAAGCACTGTTCAAAGGAGCTCTGAGCTTTAGTGATAAAATGCCTCTTGGTGGGTAATCTGATTGACACTAACAGAGATGATACTCAAACAGATATATTGACACCTCCCAAGGCCTCCCCAGATAAAACAAGATGGAAAGCAGGAATCCCTTCTGGCTACAATGTGCCAGGCACAGCCTGGGGACACTGCCATGTGCTTAGAAATGGAGATGAGAAATATGGACACACATATAGATTTGTAGACTAGGTCCTTTGACATAGCTCCCACGTTTTAGAAAGAACAGAAGCCTAGAGAGCCAAAATGACTTTCCCAGTCTATCCTGAACAGCCTATCCATCAGGGTCTAAGACAGGGGTGGGCAAACTTTTTGACTCGAGGGCCACAATGGGTTCTTAAACTGGACCGGAGGGCCGGAACAAAAGCATGGATGGAGTGTTTGTGTGAACTAATATAAATTCAAAGTAAACATCATTACATAAAAGGGTATGGTCTTTTTTTTTTAGTTTTATTCATTTCAAACGGACCGCATCCGGCCCGCGAGCCGTAGTTTGCCCACAGCTGGTCTAGGACAACATGTAAGTGCCGACTCCCTTAGAGCAGTGAAAAAGGTCCTGTCTCTGAATATGTTGTCAATAATTCCTTAACCCCATCTAGACTAATAAAAGGGTAATATGCTAATTAGACCAGATTGACCAGAGGTCTTCTGAACGTCCTTCAGGATAAAGCCTGGTCCCGGCCCCTGGGGGAAACCGCCCTGGAGGCAGGGAAGCTGCCTACAGTCGGGGTCCCGGGTGCCTGCAGCTGGCCAGAGGGAGGGAAGCCCGGGTTCCAGTTTCCTGTGGCTGGCCAGAGGAGGGAAGCCTGCGTCTTGGGTGTGGGGGCCGAGGCAGAGGCGGTTAGGGGTGATCAGGCAGGCAGGTGAGCAGTTAGGGGCATCAGACAGGCAGGCAGAGGCAGTTAAGAGCAATCAGGCAGGCAGACAAGTGGTTTGGGGCGATCAGGCAGGCAGGCAGGCAAGCAGTTAGGAGCCAGTGGTCCCAGATTGCGAGAGGGTGCAGGCCGGGCTGAGGGACCCCACCCCCCATGCACAAATTTCATGCTCTAGGCCTCTAGTAACATATATAAAGATGTATGGCTGTAACACCTTCATAGCAGTAATCTTCAACACAGCACAGTGCCCTGATCCAACTCTGTCATTTTTTCTCATACCCATCATAGTGTCTCTGCTCTCTGTTCCTGTAAAACACCAACATGGGCACAATTATAAGTCTGGCTTTATTTTTCCCTGTATCTTTTCTCTTTCCCTTTCATTGGTTTTGTAGACCTTTTCACTTCCCAACTTCTGGTTGCATAATGTAAGAATTTGTGCAAAATCTATATAGAAAAGCATTTTGCAATAAGGGCACTTTTTGTGAGAATATATCACTGTATTTGCAGAAATTAGGGGCCAGCCAGTTATATTTTATTTCTAAGTGCTAGGGAAGGTTAGTACAGTGCAGAATAATGGGAGCGTACATCACATGGCACCTTCTGTTGTTATACGTGAGTACCTTGGTTTCTAAACTGGGTTCAAGAAAACACACCTTTGAACCTTCAAGAGAATATTCAATTCCATCCAAATCAGTTGGCTCTCACAATAGGGGGACCAATGAGAATAGGCCGATTGGTGTGGACTTCTGTCTGTGAGGTGTGTTCCATCAAGGTGAAGCCTAGTGAAGGCTCACTGAAGCTGTTGGAAGATATTTTATTCTCCAGGTGGAACTGAATAATCACAGTGCATTTTATGTGTAGTAGATTCCCCTGGAGATATAATAGATACCAGTGAGGGAAAAATAACATTCCATGAGATTTTCACTTCTGGGAAACCAAAACATAAAATATATTAAGTGCTGGGGAGAGGGGACATATCCACAACAATCACTTCCTTTTCTGTTCAGACGCTCAAGTTTATTCTTACTTAAAACAGGAGGGAAAAGAACATTGGTCCTTTTTGTCACCAATAAGCTATTCACATATATTCTGAAGGGTTGGTGTTCTTGTTGTGTCTAAGAGGCAAAGATATATTTGTGCCTAAAAAACATTGCAAACAAGTAAAAAAAAAAAAGCTACTATTGCCTCAGTGGCCTTTCACCTGTCCCATGGGGCTCCTAAGAAAGGGTTGCACTCTGGACATAAAAATGGATGGATGGATGGATGGATGGATGGATGGATGGATGGATGGACAGGCAGATGGAATGCTATATGAATGAGTGACAGGATTATTTCTCCCTTAATCTACCCAAATAGCACAAAGCCTGATGTAAACAAACTTTCCATAAGTGAGGATCTGATACTTGGTGATCTTAATAATGGGTCAACTAGTCACCGCCCTTTTAGGATTTGAGCTTAAATGGAACTCAGAGTCATCTGACGCACTTTGATATTTGTTCATTCATTAAAACCTAGGAATTCAGAAGCCTCACAGGTGTCTTCATGCATCAGTGAAGCACATGACTAGGGACTTGGGGATAATTTAAGGATCCCTACTATTTCAAGACATTTTCTGAACATTCTGCCATTAGTAAGATGAAACCCAAGAGTGAGGCTATGACCAATGAAAGAAAACTTGCCTTCTCCCAAGCCTGTCATAAGATAGTGTAGAGAAAACAAAGCCTAAGACTCCTGCTGGGTCCCTCCAATCCCTTGCCCACCAGGCTTCATATGTCCCCAGGCCTGAATCACCATGAGTCCATAATTTGCAAGTGCATTAAACTCATGGAAAGATGATGCCAAAGGAACCAAATATGTCCGATGAGTGTGGCTTAGTGGTTGAGCGTTGACCTATGAACCAGAAGGTCACAGTTCATTTCCCAGTCAGGGCACATGTCTGGGTTGCGGGCCCAATCCCCAGTAGGGGGTGTGCAGGAGGCAGCCGATCCATGATTCTCTCTCATCATTGATGTTTCTATCTCTCTCTTCCTCTCCCTTCCTCTCTGAATCAATAAAAATATATTTAAAACACACACGCACACATACACACACATATGCACACACACAAAACAACAACAAAGGAACCAAATTAGAACCAGAAAATAAAAGTCTGGTGTTCATGCTTCCTTTCGCAGAGAAATTGGTCCCTCCCTTGGTGCAAGTCTCTCTTGGAGTCACCTGAGCAGGTGATTTCTTAAGGCAATATAAAGCCCCAGATACCACTGAGATCTTCACAATCCTCTACAGAGGAAAAGGTCCTAACATATTGTATCTCTTTAGTACTACGTGCCTTGGGATGTTTTCTCTCCTTCTTGGCCAAAGCCTTTCTAGATAGTAGTCTTAATTCCCATTCTCTTACTGTGATAGAATTTAGTACACAGACATTTCACGTGGGACCACCTAGAAGCCATGTGCTGGTTTGAGTTAGCCTGAACCAGGACATAGTTTATGTCCTGGCTTATGGTGCTCACAGAATCCTGAGGGAAATAGATGAGTACAAAGGCAATTACAAAGGCTAGCAGGAGGGGTTCTCAAGGTGGAAATGATCTGTATCTTGACTATGGTGATGGTCACTCGAACCTACACATGCAATAACGTTGCATATTATTCCTTCAACTGCAGGCAGAACTACAATCACCTCAATTTTTTTCATTAAAAAATATACAATTGCGCCGAAACCGGTTAAATTCATGCCAGGGGCCCTTTGAGCACAGAGTGAAAACAAACCGCCCCTCTTGGATTAGGGAGAAGCAGTCAAAGAAGGCCTCCCCAGGAAGGGGGTCTCATAGGTGAAGTCAGCCAGGGTGAAAGGAAGGGTGTGGGAAAGGAAATGCAGGGTGGGCAGCATCTGCCCCTGCCTCTCTCTCAAGCCAGCTCTCTCACTGGTCTACTGCTGCCTCTCTGCTTTGAGCCACCTTCTAAAAGAAGGTCTGGCCCAGCCAGTGTTGCTCAGTGTTTAAAAGTCGACCTGTGAACCAGGAGATCATGGTTCAATTCTAGGTCTGGGCACATGCCTGGGTTGTGGGCTTGATCCCCAGTAGGGGGCGTGCAGGAGGCAGTCAATCAACGATTCTCTCTCATCATTGATGTTTCCATCTCTCTCTTCCTCTCTCTTCCTCTCTGAAATCAATAAAAATACATATAAAGAAAGAAAGTCTGTTTTAATCTATATTAGTCTCCCCTCACCCCCTGTCTTTTACAGGTCATTTAATTGTGGAAGAAACTGGAATGTTTGTCTTATAGAATTTCCCATTTTCCAGATTTTCATTACTAGTTCTTTGTGGGGTCTGCATTATGTGTCTCTTCCCAGCAGTTCCTGTAAACGGGTAGTTTTGTTGTTGTTGTTATTGCCATTGTTACTATTACATGACTACTAAATCATCCCAGTGTTGTTGAAAAGGTAAGAATGTGGGCAATAATGTTCTAGTAGTCGGTTGAATTATGGTAGCATATGACTTTAAACCAAATCTTTCCACCCTGTCACATAGAAAATGGATAGCAATCTCATGTTGGTGCCCAAGTTTGGGAAGTGATTCCAGTACAAAGAAAATGCATGGACTTGTGCAATGGATGAGCATATCTGGCACAGCAGCTCCATTCAGCTCAGGGAGTTGCTGGAAACGGACCTTTCTGACAGTAAATTCCAATGAAGTTGGTGGGTGTGATATTAATGACTAGACTCTTAGTCACCACAAGGGAACTGAAATCAGACGACAGAAGCATGGTAGAGGGAGGCGAGATGTTAGCAATTCCGATTGCAGATGTGAATGTAATTTCAGGCTGTTATTATAATTGTTTCTATGCTTTGATTAAATGCCTCTCATAATACTAGGCTATAAGGTTGGAGGCAGGAATGAAGTGAGGAGATCCCAGGGTTTTCATTTGCCTTCATATCTGCGCTGTGAGAAGGTCAAGAGAGGGGACGTGCTCATCATTAAATAAAACACAAAATGATCACTTCTCAGCACACCCTGGGCATCTTAACACTCAAAACCAACCTGCAAACAGACCAATGCATATTTGTGTGTTGCAAACACAAATTTAGGGATAGTCACAGAAATTTCAAAAAAGAAAAGGCATTTTTTAGAAAGAAGGGGGAAAAGATTAAGTCACGAAAGCTCTGTATCATTCGAATTTGCCATTTAACTCCTTTTCCACCTGTCTATAAAACAGATTTCCTTGGATCTTTTACACTGAGAGTGTCCAACAGGATGGTCTTAGGGACACAGGGGCAGCGTGACATTTTTAAGTTCCCACCACTATTGGAAGCCAGAGAGCTGGAGGTCTAGAAATTTCAGCTCACCTGATCTTTCCTCAGTCTTCTCCTTTTAATATTTGTTCTTCTCGTGTGACTGAAACAAACATAGGAATGTAAGATGATGATGTTGCCATGGCAGAAACAGGATTATCTGATCAAAGGCTTCACACGGTACACATAAAATGATTCAGCTGGCCAACACTCATTCAACACCTCTGATGCTCATGCTGGTGATGGATGTTATAGAGATGGATACAAAGATGGAACCAAGGCCTGTCATGTAATATGATACCATGTGATATGATACCATATGATATATGATATGATGATATACAATGCTATATTATAGTTATGTTATTTATTATACTAGAGGCCCCAGTGCATGAATTCATGCACAGGTGGTGTTTGGCCAATCGGGGGTGGGGCTGGCCAGGGGGAGGGGCCTCAGGCAGTTGGCCGGACAGCCCCACCCCCTGGTTGAACTCCCAGTCAAGAGGACAATTTGCATATTAGTCTTTTATTATATAGGATTATATTACATTATACCAGACTAAACTACATTACATTACTTTATAGTATATCTTGATTTGCCTATTAATTTCTTGTCTGTCTCCCCCTTACAATTCTATATAATAAAAGGCTAATATGCAAATTGATAAAATGGCAGAACGACCGGTCTCTATGACACGCACTGACCACCAGGGGGCAGCTCCTGAAATGAGTGTCTGCCCCCTGGTGGTCCGTGCACACCAAGTCGGGGAGCACTGCTGAGCCGGGCTCACGGCTGGTGAGCACAGCGGCAGCAGTGGCGGGAGCCTCTCCTGCCTCCGCGGCAGCACTAAGGATGTCCGACTGATGGCTTAGGCCCACTCCCCGCAGGGCCTATGCCATCAGTCAGACATCCCCTGAGGGCTCCCAGACTGTGAGAAGGTGCAGGCTAGGCTGAGGGACGCCCCCCCCCCCACCCCGAGTGCACAAATTTCGTGCACTGGGCCTCTAGTATAGGTTTTCCCAAAATTCACGCAAGAAATAATTTTGATAGAAAACACAGGTTTATAATTAAAAATTGTAAATTTTTTATTGATTCATAAAGTATACAGTATAAGGTTATGTATGGAATAGCACATAGGGTAAATGGCCTCCACGACTTTGCTGGCACATACGCAAAGCTGTGGTCTTCATTGGTCTTCATTGTCCCTGCTCCTGGGCCATAATTGGTACTTGGTAATGCTTGTCAAATTGAAGGTATTGAAATCAAAGGGCAACAGATATTAGAATCTGATTCAATAAACCAAGTAAATTAGGTTTTTATTTTTTGTTGTTGTTGTTGTTGTTAATGCTCACGCAAAATTCAAATCTTGCATGAATTTTGGGACACCCTATATATTATAAAGGAAAGTGGTTGGGAGCAGGAACTTTGCAACTATGACTGGATTCACACCTGTACTACTCACCAGCCGAGTGACCTTGGAAAAGCCCCATAACATCTCTGTACCTTAGTTTCCTCCTTAGTCAAATGCAAATAACAGCAACACATATCTCAGAGGACTGTTGCAAAGATCAATGAGTTAAAACTGAGGGCAAGATCTGGGTGAGTAGCATGCACATGTAGGCTGTTAGTTATGTTATCATTTGAAGGCGGGGCTCCATGGTGCTGAAGTGGGCGGTGGCTCTCCCATCATTCAAAGAGGCTCAGAGAAGTCCCCTGGTCCCTGTCCACTCCATTTTGGAGTCCAAGTCTAAGCCGATCAGCATATTTCATCCTTTGCCACAGGGATCGGTTCAGGCCTGAGTGGATAACCTAATGACCCAGAGCAATTCAACGACCCAAACCATGACTTTGATCTGTCCTGCTGAGGACTCAAACTGACCCCATTGGACCTACCCTGGGGGGATTTAGAACTGGAGCTGTTCCCACCATCATCTCCCATAGGGAGCCCTACTGGTTGGTGTCCAGTCAATAAAATGTAGTGTAGGGACTGTGGGTGAAAGGAAGCCACATCCAATGACATCATATGGCTCCTGTCCCAGCCACACCTGAAACCAGCTTTGTCCCTGCACATTTTAGTCATGTGAACCAATATGTTCCCTTTTTGCTTCAGCCTAGTTAGGTCAAAAATTTTTTCACCTACAACTCAAAGAGGGCTAAATAGCATTCCATTATTCGCTGACAACCCAGACTCAAAGAACCTATAAAGACCTCCTAGGAGATAGCACAGCAAGTAAGTAGCAGAAACCAACCTTGAACCTGTCTCTGCCTGACCATTACACAGTGCTGCTCCCCAAAGCTACAGAAGGTTCCAGAAAACAGGTTAAGCTACAACCGTAGGGATCCGCAATTGAAAGGCAGGAGCCCGAGCAGGCTTGGGGAAGCTGTGGCATTAACAACTAACCTTTATTAAATGCTTATGAGATGCCAGTCACTGTGCTACACTTCATGTGCAACTCTGTACGTGAGCTGTGGCTTGAAGAATGAGCAAGATCTGGGCCTGTGGAAATGGGGGCAGGGCAGCATTCTTATTTAGCAATTACAAAATAGTATCTGTGTGCCTTAAGGCAGCTGTGACTCAAGGCTGAAAAGGGCCCTCTTTGGCAGCAGCAGCCAGGAAAGTGAACAGCACGCCTTGCCTACCCAGGTACTGTATTTCATTGCATCCCTTCATTCATCCAAAATTTCATCCCAGCAAGACAAACAGATTGCCACTGCGGTTCCAGGGCCCACACATCTCAACCATGTTTTCCACCCAATTCCATCTTGGGAAGATATAGGTTAATTAGTGAACAAGATAAGCATTCTGGTAATGGAGGGATGGGCCAATTGGACTAGTGAGAGGTGAATGGAAGAATTGTCTTGTTGCAATGCTTCCTATCGGAGCCATGTTTTCTGGGACACCTGGCAGTACATTCTGCGTGGGTTAGTACTTCAAAAAAGAGGTGGGAATCCAAGCATGTGTTTAGTCACTTTCATTGAATGAACAATCACTGGGTACCTACTTTGCCTGTATTGGGCAAAGGAGTTGGGGAGATGAGAGGTGTCGGCCCAGGCTTCATGCGGGGTAGGTGGGGAACGAATATGGTATCATGAGGACTACATGGCAGTGAGTGCAGAGAATGAACACCCAGCCGGCTTTGGGGCTACTGTGCACAGGGCTCAGGTAAAGCTTTTAAGAGGAAATACAAGACTTGAAGAAGAATAAAAAATTAGCCAGGAGATAGGGGAGAGGGAAGGGCAGAAGGGGAGGGGTGTGAGTTCCAGGTGAGCAAAATTATGCAAAACTCGGGAGAAAAGGAAGATCTGCTTAAGGTTCAGAGTAACTGCCACTATAAGTCAGGAACATAAAACACAGGAGAAAAGAAAACATTTTCTGGGTCCCTAGTATACACTAGGCCCCATTGATGGAAACTGTGTTGGAGGAATATACTCAGACTTAGGCACATGCTAATAGATTTCATTCATTTGAGCACTTATCAGGGTGACATGTGCCAAGCACTTGATGTACATGCTCATCACAATAAAAAAAAATACTCTTTACCTTTGACTGAGGAGGAGACTGAGGTCCAGGGTGATCAACCAACTTGCCCAGGTCTCAGTGGGACAGAGCAGGATTCACACGCTTGTTGGCCTGGTGCCAAACTACAGCATCTCTTGGATATGTCTCCTTGTCCCGTGACCCTCAAAAATCGATGCTTTACTGCCTCACTGCTCTGCCACCAGAGGCTCTAAACATTATTAACCTAAAACCACAGCATCCTCTGGCCTGGAGATGTTTGGCCCCGCCATTCTGACCCCAAAGATATTCTAACTTTACCATTCTGACCCAGCAATGCTCTACAAGAACCCAGTATGACAGTTTTGTCTGTGTGTATGGGTGTCTGGTCTGTGTTTAGCTACCTATGTTTAATCTCAAAGGGCTGAGAACATTCCTTCCGTGCAATCCAGAATCTTTCTAACCTCCTCATGCAGTTCAATTCCTTTGCAGCCTGAAAAAAAAAATGAGTTGGAGCCCGGCTGGTGTGGCTCAGTGGTTGAGCATTGACCTATGAACCAGGAGGTTGCTGTTCAATTCCAGGACATAAGTCCGGGTTGCAGGCTCGATCCCCAGTGTGGGGAGTGCAGGAGATAGCCTATCATTGAGTCTCTCTCATCATTGATGTTTCTATCTCTCTCTCTCTCCCTTCATCTCTGAAATCAATAAAAATATATTTTAAAAAACGAGTTGGAGGAAGACATTGAAGCACTTTGCTGAGGTCAGAGGGTGAATTAATAGGTTTTCTCTAGGTACCCTCCCCCACCACAGTCTACCAGCACCCACATCACTCATCCCTGACCAGCAGCCCTTCACAGAGCCCAGAGCCCACAGTCAGTGATGCTTGCCTGAAGAGCCCCCGTCATTCCTCCAGAGCCCTGATGGTCCCGGGCTGGGTCTGTAGAACCAGATAGCCCCGAGCCCTCTGGCTGGACCAAGACCACAGATGGCAGGTCATAAACTCACAGGATCTTTTCTGCTCTCATTCCCAGGTGTCTCTGATAAGGGGGCAAGATGGGAGCCATGACGGGCAGATTCTGCAAAAGCTTGCACAGTTAGGTCCTTTCGAGAGGTACCAGGGGGAAACAGATGCAATTCAAAGGTGGACACTGGAAACCCTGAACTCTTTCTATTTGAGAAAATGACTTGGAGTCTCCCGGCTTCAAAACTGGCATCAGGAAATGGCAGGGAAGTTGGCAATCTAAACAAGAAAGAAAAACGGGGAAAAAAGAACAGATCTCAAAGATGCTTTTCTACATAGACAGAGCTCTTCTGCTTGGGTTTTCCAGGCAACGTCTATTTTTTATTAGTCTCTGAGGTCTCAACTCTGGACAATTTTGACAGGTCAAAGGTTTACAGAAATCTGGGTGGGTGACACATCAAACCATTAAGCAATCTGCCCTCTTCGACGGAGAGCTTTGCCTACACCAGAAGAAAGTAAAGTTGCTTTAGAATTTATTAGAAGGATGTGTGTGGACATTCAAATGGAGCAATTTAGTTTCAAATGAGCCCAATTACCCAATAGGCCAATT